GATTACGAAAATGGTCCATTTGGCTAGCTTGTGTATGTTGCATTGAATTAGCATGCATTATTTTATTAACTTGTGTTGGTTCAAACTGTGATTTGAAATGCTGCATTTCACCATTGAAAGGCTGTATTTCTCCATTTCCTGAATTTGGTCTACTTCCAAGTGAAGACATATTGTCCACTCCTTTAGAATAAAATGGTGATCTTTGATTTGGATCTTGCTGTTGTCGAAAATCGTGTAATCTTGCGGTCGAATTTTCAGGAGAGCTCATAAACGGTCCAGCAAGCTGAGGTGGCAGGTTCGAGTCAGATGTCGGAGTTGTACTTTGTTTCGCAAAGGTTAGTAAACCATTTCCAGATTGCATTTCCTGTTGCATTCTAGAAGTATGTAACATTTGGTGATTTTGCATTGGATCTATCTTAAGACCTTGGCTATAATTGTTTCTGTTTGAATAACTTTCATTCTGCATATTTGGATTAAAAGTACCCGTTGGCAGCATTTTATGTCTTGGATCAAATGGCAATGGATTTGTAGGCTTAAACACTGCATTCGCACTTTCACTATTTGTTAAATCAGAGATCTCAGTTGCAAAGTCAAATGCCTCTTTAATTATATTTGAGCTATCTCCATTAATATCGTTAAACATGTTGCCTTTGTGATTTTGATGCATGTCATGTGGTGGTACTTTGTGATGTAATGTGACACTCGCTCGCCGTTGCTCTGCAAGAGATATATGATCGCCTTCTTGTAACTTAGTACCATTTTGTTGAACATGTCCTCTGCCGTCTTGTCCAGGCTTTGAATAAATCGCATTTGACGTACGTTCCACGTGCGGAATGCTAGTTAATCGAGGGTCGATGCTTCTTGTTTGTAAAATCTTATCACTTGACACAGACAAGCCCTTGCCAGAAATGAGATCGGAATGTAAAAATGATAAATCAATTTCTTGTCTTGATTTAGTTTGAGCATTATTAGTATCAGTTTTCTGGTCAAGAAGTTCTCGCAATAAATCTGAATTTGATACATGATTGCATGGTTGCTTACACTGTTTTGTGTGAACTGAAGTTTGAATACTAGTACATGAACTTGACTGAATTTTGTTAAATTTTTGCACTACACTCTCGTTCCCTGGAGGGAATCTACTAGCCTTTGCTATAACACTATTAAGTACTTTTTCGAAGTCTTCAATATCATGTTCTACTGAATTTGCTCTTTTCAATTCGGTTTTCTCGCATATTTCTTTTTCTTTGTCAAGAAAATTCTGTTTTTCATTTCTCACATCACTGTCGTTAACTTTATTTACATTATGATCATTTACGTCACTTTTATTTTGAGGTTTCTCATCAAATGTCCATTTACCATCATCCATTGTTTTAAATGACTGCCCTTCCATAATTTCTGTTTTCATTTTTTCAAATACTGAATCAAACAATGATAAACTCTTCCCATCATCTTCATCAAAAGAATCTAATATAGAAGAAATGTCATTTTTCACACTATTTGAGTCACTTTTCAGATTTTTGTTTTCTGTAGAGCCATTCTCTATTATATCGTCACTAAAGCCAAGGGGAGCAACCACAGCAACCGGAGGACATAGATCTATCACATCTTCATTATTAAATGTGTTCCCGTTTCCAACACTTTCTTCTGTTTGCTCTGTATATACGACAGATTCTGTTTTAATTCTTTTGTTTTCAGATGAATTGCTTGTGAAATCATTTGGAGACAGAGGCCGTTTTCTTGTTTCGCCTACATGGTTAGAAGGGTTTAACAAGGCGCCAGGCATATTCTCAGTCTTTGAAAATACGTTATTATATCCATTGTAAACTTGTCCTTCGCTTTTCATGGGAGAGAAACCGTCATTTTCTTCTATTGGTCCTAATGAATTTGTCATCTCACTTAAACTACTATCACTTATTTCAGAATTCTTCGTTCTTTCTACGCTATCAACTCCATTGCCAAGATATATTTCGGCAATATCTCCGTCATATAATCCTTCTTCCAACGTATTATTATTTCCGTTATTATCAACGTCAGATTTATCTTCATTAGTCAGATCGCAGAAACTGGAAATATCGTACTTGATGTTTTCAACTGCCCTGTCAACTTCGTTGTCATTTTCTGTTGCCATTTCCGCAGCGTTATTAGCGTTTCCACCAGACATTGTTTGATTAGTTTCAAAGAGATTATTAGCATCGGTACTTATATTAAATTCTCTCTCCTGATCACACATTTCTTCATCGGTATTTTTTATATTAGCTGTTTAACTTTGTCACTGCAGTCACAAAACAAGAGTCTGAAAATAGAGAAGGATTTATTTATAATAACCTAACAAAATTGAACCAAATTAGTACTAATAATCTTTTAGTTTGTAATACAGATGTTTTTAAAGTTCGATTGTGTCGGAAACTATAAGCTGATAGAAACGCTTTCAAATCCATTCGTGGAATTAATCTGTACTAAGCAATGAGTATAGTTTCTTGTACAAGGGAAAATCGGCTTGCCCTCCGGACGTAGTCCGAACACAAGCGGCCTGAAATCATCAGATACCTGTCCGACGCGTTCAATATTAGGCCACGTCGCCACATTTATAGCACATTTAAACGGGACACTAACCATTTACTTTCACCATGCTCAGTCATGAAAGATAGATTTCACAAGACGAAGTTGTGACAAGGTTTTGCTACATTTCAGACCGATAGTCTTACTTAAAGTCAACCAAAAGATGCTAAATGCCGTGTGTGGAGGAAAAGCATGATATGTTTGAGCTAAAACACCACATAAACAGGCCGACAAAATTAATCGATTAATTTACACAAACCTGATAAGGGTTCCATTTTTTAAAAAATGTATCCAAGACATTATATTTAGTGAAAAAGTAATGTACTGGCCCATGAGAAGAAGAAGTCTATATAGGACAAATCTCTTTGCGCACCTGTCATTTTAAAATGCTAATCTTTGAATAGTGACCAAACCATCGAGTCATAAGTAGTCGTTTACTTCAATGTTTCTTAAAACTCCACCATGAGAGGTTTTAATAACCTGAATGACAACTATCAAAAGACGCAGACTATTGACGCAGACGAACAAGTTTGACTATGAGTAATGTACGGTTTATGATGATGATTCGGTTAAAAATATTTCCATTCTTAACTTTAGCGAGTCAGGAAATGGGATAAATAGAATTAGATAAAGTACCATTTAGGTATACTTTATACCACGTTGGATCACATATGTGTGAACTGATTTACCACTTGGTCACATATATACTTATGTATCGTGCATGAGGTTCTTATTTACACAAGTCCAACTAAAAATACATTTTTTATATTTTTGCATGACTGTGATTTAGTTTGAATAAAGAAGATGCGTATTAAAATGTATGGTGCATAAATGGTGTTCAGTTCATAAACAAGTACATGTAACAAAATGAAAAACATATGACCACGAGCATATTAAACCATGATAATTGATTGTTTCAAAGTAACACGGTTAATAAAGAGCAAAAAACAACCTACAAGTATTTATAACTAAAGTTTTATCTTATCTCAATAACCATCATGATAAACATACGCTAATCTCAAATTTTAAATTTGCACTTTAAACTTCAAGCGTAGGCGATTTAAAGGCACGTTGTGTCTCAGAAACGAACACTTTTTTACTTCTTTAAATAAGGGCAATTTTGAGCTTTAAAACGTTTAAATAATAGTTTTAGAGCATGTTATATGCTTGATATGTGAAGAAAGTAGCGCTTAATGTGAAATTATATGTCATAGATGTTGCAAAGTGTAAACAAAGTAGAATTTTGACTACTAATATTATATCACTATAACTGTACTAACTACCAAAAAGCAACAGCAGAAAAAAAGATGGTTCAGGTAAGTGGCAAATCAGTTGCTATTTGGAAAACACGAAAAGTCACCGGTAATTTCGGGACGGATATTTTCATTCGAATCGCAAGATAAAATGTATTTGTATCATAGTTTGGGGACCTTTCTGTTGAAAAAGTGTCAGAGTTAAATCGTATACATATACATGCACAGTGCGGTAACTGGAGTGCAGGTATCAGTTACCCGCACTCCAGATCATGCCCGTTGATTGGCTCATTTTTGCTGGGGTTTACATATTGTGACGGCAGAGAAAGGGGAAAACGGCAGAAATATGCTTGATATGTGAAAATGGTTATTTTTTGCAAGTGTTAAAAGTGTACAACAGTAGAATTTGAATTTTTATATTTGACTAACTACAAAAAGAACAGCAAAAAATGTTCAGTCGGGCAATCGTTGCTATTGGAACACGAAGTCACCAAATCGACGATATTTATTCGATGCATGTAATTAATATAACAGCTAGGTATTATATCATTATGGATCACTAGAAATAACTTCTGCATTTTCCCAGAAAAGTATATAAATTTAAAAAAAAATCGCATTAGTTGAATTCCATACAAATGAGGATCTAAATAATTAAATGTTCAAATATAGAGCATAGTGTTTTCACATGCATACAATATTAATATTGGTTGTCCTGTGACGGCAATTTCAATGCAGAAAATTAATGTAAGTTACATTTACCGTGAATGCTTAACAGAATAATTTGCATAAGAATATAAAAACACCTAAGCTCAACTTCCGGCAACATGACATAAATAGTATGGTTTCTGTTTTTAGTAATTCATTTCCGGCGATAGCCCGGTTGATCCAATTATTAACTAGCCGACCGACCGCAAAGTGTAAATATTTAATATTTTAATGTCTATATATAGCTGCAGCGACGGTGCTTGTAAGAATAATCAATCCGTGATTATTGTTTTATTTTTTATGAATTACCTGCCATTTTTATTGAAAAAATAAAAATTGAAAAATAGGATTACTCAGCAGTACAACAAGGTCGTTACAAAGAATGTTTGGCCTTACACTGCCCATGATAACAACTATCTTGTAATAGTCTATAAATAGCGCCAGTGATTGCCGCAAGTCAATATAAAGACAAATATAGCACGACAGATAGATAGCGTGTATTTTAATAGTGATAAACTGATAAATGTAGCCGACAAAAGAAAAACAAGAATGCCCTAACAATACGATGAAATAGTGAGCTGTGTTTTCATTTCTATTTACGAACTACTTTTGTTGTTTAAAAAAAAGGATTTGATATCTATCCGGCGCCTGGTATGTAATTTTGATTTATAACAGTATAACAGTTACTTGCGTTTTGATTTATCTTAGATTGTTTTGTAAAGACATTCTACATGTTATACACGTAGCTTATACATTTTTAAAAAATATAGCTTTGCCGTAAAAACAAAATGTTTAGACTATAAAACTGTAACTTAAAAAACAACAACACCAACAGCAAACCTAAAACAAAAACAAAAGAAAAAAAAACAAGAAAATAAAACACACAATAAAGAAAAACCTGACAATATAATTGAACTTGATATTATAGTGATTACACACAACCTATATACTTTGTTCGTTTAGAATTTTACATTCTGTAATGTATTGAACAAATATTTCTGTGAATATTAAATATTTAATTGACTGTTCTTAATATTATTTATATTCATGATTTTAACTAGTTGAATTTTATTGACTGAACGCTATTGCTGGAGCATTTTAAAAAGATCGGCTGCAGTGATTCAGATATGCAGATGTGCAATTTTACATTGATAAGGGGTCATTACACAGGGGTGCTTTTAAATCTTTGTTTATTCACACGCTGATTAATGATAAAGAGGGGAGAATGATTGCTTTTACAGAGATCATTGAGTGATGTTTATTTTCATCATCATCATCATCATCATGATGATCATCATCATCAACAACAACAACAACACTATCATCAATAGCAACAAAAACTACAACAACAAATCATCACCATCACCATCACAAAACAACAAAGAAACAAGAAATGTCAAACTGACCCATATTTTGCCCCTTTTCTGAAAACTATGATGTGTAATAGAATATTTAACCATTAAAAAGTCACAGACTATAATCTTACAAATATAATTTCTAGAGCAATTCAAATACAAAACTATTCAGCTACAGATATTTAGATCTAATATCATTATATTCATCTAGTATCTAATCATTTGCCAACAATCATATTATTTTAGTTTGTTTTTATCATGCAACTAAGAACTTATGAATTTACAAAAAAAGAAAAGGAAAAAGAAAGATAAAGCAGATTTCAAATTAAACCTATAAATTACATAGTACATATTTCTCATTACATGAAATCGTAGAAAAGATGTTACTCTATACATGTATCCTATTTATAGACTAAAACATTGATTTGTATTGTAGTCCCTAATACAAATATACAGATATTATGTCATGCGTCACTGTGACTGGTTTAATGCCCAAACAACCAAAAATATAAAGGTTATCTACTAATTGTAAGTAAAGTTTGAAGGCTGTGGGTCAAATAGTTCGCCTGTTTCCGAGCAAAAACGAATTTTACGTTCAAGGTCACTGTGACCTTTAAACACTGACGTCCATAAAACGAAGTGGGTCTATCACTCAATGATTGCAGTCATTCTGTCAAGTTATGGGTCAAATGGTTCTCTCGCCATCCACATTCAATGACCTTGACCTCTATGCATCCACGCCCTAAAACAATAGGGAACTGAATTCGACTTAATTTAAGGTGAATGTAAGTTAAAGCTATAGGTCAAATGGTTATATACTAGTAGTTATTGAGTAGAAATGGTTTCCACGTTCAATGTCACTGTGCCCTTGACCTTTAGGGATCAACTAAATGGTATTTTTGCAGTAATATCAATCACAAAATCCTAACATGTAACATGTATATATATTTTAAAAATAGCTTGGCATGGCTTTAATAATCACCCCATGAAAGTTGAAAGCTACGGACCGTATAGATTCTATTTGTTGTAAAAAAGGGTCACTGTGACCTTTATCTTTAGGCTTCGACGCCTGAAACATCAATGTCTTTTATCTAATAAGTATGATTTTCCAATTAAAGTTGAAAGCTATATGTCAAATGATTCGCCAATTTTTGAGCGGAGACAGGTTTTAAGGTCACTGTGAAATTGACCTCAACTTATCGCAGATATAAGGCAAAGTAAGGGTATTCTATTCAATAAGGGTGATCATCCTTTGAAGTTTGAAAATGATTCAAGGGTTATTGTGGGGTGGGGGGGGGGGCTATTGGGCGGACATAAAGTAGTCAACCGACCGACCGACAATTGCGTAATTTACCGGCCATTTTCTCCGAAAGGAGACCTAATATACTCTTAGTTAAGGGGAGACCTAATATACTCTTAGTTAAGGGGAGACCACTTAGTTAAGGGGCGACCGATAAGGAGAGACCTAATATACCCTTAGTTAAGAGGAGACCTAAAAAACCTCTTAGTTATAGGGAAACCTAATTCACTCTTACTTAAGGGGAGACCTTATATACTCTTAGTTAAGAAGAGACCTTATATATACTCTTAGTTAAGTGTGGACCTAATGTACTTTCAGTTAAGGGGAAACCTAATATACCCTAAGTTAAGGGGCGACCTTATATACTCTTTGTTAAGGGGAGACTAATATACTCTAAGTTAAGGGGCGACCTAATAAACTCTTAGTTAAAAGTATACCTAATATTCTCTTAGTTAAGGGGAAACCTAATACATTCCTAATTAAGGGGCGATCTAATATACTCTCAGTTAAGGCAAACATAATGTCAATTTACAATGGTAAACAGTGCAATACAATACACAGTATTAATATTAACATAAAATGACACATCCATAACACACTAGGCAAATTTTGATATTCTTTCGTGTGCCATTATTTTCACATTAGCGTCCATTATTATGATAACTAGTAAAAGTAAGTGTTGTCACGTAGATATGGAAAGTTGTCCGGGTTCACACAGGCTTTAAGCTATATGCGTCCAGATGAGCCAAACCAGTCAAGAAAATCAATCTTGATAAAAATTACCAAGATTTTAAGAAAAATAAAAAAGATTTAAAATTCAAGTAATTATATACATGCTTTATATGCGATTAATTACTGATTTTTCAATTTTATCACAATATTGCTACTGTATGACTAACGCAGTGAGGGCTAATTTTGCATGTTTTTTTTTTCGAATCACACTGTTAATAAACAATTTAATTTAAAGACGTTTGTTTAAAAGGTTCTTTTTAAACATCACTGACCCTAATGCCAGACGCCACATTGGCGGTTTCTAATAATGATGTGACATTTGACTTTACAAAAATCATTCGGAACACCATGGACGATAAATAATAATAATCTCGGAGTTTATACGGATTGCAAAGTCAGAAATACCGTCAACAGGTATTTAGTTTGTACTTTCGGTTTCAAAAAACCCATAATAGATAGTACATAAATAATGTATTTGTTACTTATATATCTACAATTTTTTTTTTAATTTATGAGGACTACATGATATCATGAATACATGTATAAACTGATAAACCCATCCTTGCATTTACATTTACATATTTTAAGCGTAGGTTACACTCGTTCTTATCCGGTGATTGACGGAAATGGCCGAGGAGTTGCGAATAGTTTCAATCAATGCATTGTTATTATTGACACAGATGCATTATTATTTAAAGATAAGCTTAAGAGTGCATTTAATGTCCAAAGAAAATGTCCAAACTGTGGGGGTGGGGACAAATGTCCATATTTACATTTCCACTGGGGAAGCAATTTCCAGTGATTCATTTTAAGAGTGGGGGCAGATATCCGTATACCATTTAAAACAAAAAAGTTTTGGCATAAATTCTAATCTCTCGTAGTCGTTTTAAAATGACCGTTCCCATAAAGTTTTTAGATGGTCACTGGCGCGGAACGAAGAAATCATTATCATGTCTTGATTAAAATGATTTAATTGAACAACATGACTACAGGGTAATACACAACCATGCGTTTGTTTACCCTCCCTCGGGCCCTTACAATTACGTCACATGAATAAATGCGTGGACAATATACCGCGTCAGATGTCAACATTGTACACTACGAATACCTGTGTTACAATTCGATGTTTCGTAATAACTTTGTAAACATTATTTCGATAATGAAAATATGATACAAGCAATTAATATCGAAAACAAAATCAATACATCGATCTGTTGATGATATAATATTTTTATTGACGGCGGTGAAGATGTTTTCATTATTTACCTTTGTTGTTGTTGTTGTTGTTTGTTGCTTTTGATGTTGTTTTAGTTGCGTTTGTAATTGATGATGATGATGATGATGATGATGATGATGATGATATGGTGCTATTGTGGACGACGATGACGTCAATTATGAGTTTGTTTTATGATGATGGTGATGGTGATGATGATGATCATGGTTGCACTGATTATAGTGATGAATATAGTCATGAGATGTTGTTTGCTTTGATAATATTCATGAAAATGACTTGATAATTACGATAATGACATTGTCAGAAAAGATAATTTTATGTTACTGATAAACATCGAGATAAAGAATGTTATGTTTACTTAAAAATGGTGATACCTGGTGCCTACAATGACAAAACTGATAACTTTATGTTAAGTACATTTAAAAAGCTATATACATGCATTAAGTATATTTAAAAATGTTTACGCTACTACATACATGCGTATTGTCTTTGCACATCGCTATTCGAAATATCTAACCTCCGGAATCCCATTACAGATATAGGAATTCGGAATAATTGTTCATGATAGAAATAACATGCACCCAGGAATACCACTGTTTAACTTTTTAAGGGAGATACCCTCTAAATTGTTTAAGTATTGAATAGAGATACCCTCTAAAACGCATAAGTGTTGAAAAGTGATACCCTCTAAAATGTATTATAAGTGGTTTTTTAAGAGATATCCTTTAAAATGCGTAAGTGTTGAAAAGAGATGCCCTCTAAAAAGTACAAGTGTTAAAAAGAGATACCCTTTAAAATGCAATAAGTGTTGAAAAGAAATACGCTCTAAAATGTATTAGCGTTGAAAAAAGTTACCCTCTAAAATGTATAAGTGTTGAAAAGAGATATGCTCTAAAATGTATAAGTGTTGAAAAAAAGATATACCTACTAAAAATGCATGAGTGTTGAAAAGAGATACCCTCTAAAAAGTGTGAGTGTTGAAAAGAGATACCCTCTAATATGTATAAGTGTTGGAAAAAGATAGCCTCTT